GCACCCGCGTGAATGAGGGGAGCATCGCTGCGAGGATGAGGGAGAGCAGCTGTGCGGAGCTGGAGAGATTTGGCTCTGTGGGAGTTCTGTGGGATAGGCTTCAGGAAACTCGACCTCTTGTTTTCCTGTCGATCATCTCAGAGTAACGCTTTTAAAAATCCTAGTCGTGACAAAAAATTACGTATAAAATACAGTAATAGATTGTGGGAAGAGTTAGTTATCGGTTGGAAAGTAGTGTTTTGCAGTAATGTGATTTCTCATACGGGAGAAAAAATTAAAACGTTACTGCATGTGTTCGAAATGATAAAAGCTTTTCCTCAAAAAGGTGGCATACTTTTGGTCTTTTAAAATGAACTTAAGTCTTCAACTGTAACGTCATAGCTAGTTTGTAAATAGAATGAATGTAACTGGATTGGTCTGTGCAGATCTGCTGAGCTCATCAGTGCTGTCAAATGGGCAATGCGTGGGTTGTGTTTGTGTGTGCGCGTCTGTGTGCGTGTCAGTCTAACGAGAATGATGCTGTTTTTCTAGGTCCTCAATACTGAGTGAAGTTTCTACCCGGTCAAGATCTAAATTGCCATCAGGCAAGAATATTCTTGTTTTTGGTAAGTAAGGGTGGTTGAGGGTTTTTTTTGTAGAAACCAAACATGTTTAAAACCATGATGTGAACAAACTGACACATCAGTTTGTTAAAATTAGGTTATGTAATATGATCTACGGTATTATTGTCTTCAGGCTGATAGATTTACTTTCTCTTTGGTTTATGCTGTTAGGTTTATAACATATATTGGAAAAAAAGGGATGTAATAGGGAATGATGAAGTGCTTCATTATTACTGTCGTGGTATAAACCATTGGATTTAGCTGGAATACTTGAAAGAAAACAACAAATAAGTATGGTCCAAAAATGTACAAAGATACTTCTGATTACTTAAACGTGTTTTGAAAAATCTTTTCTACAAAGTTAAAATTATTTCTGAAAGTGTCTTTTTTTTTCCTGTAAAAACTTACTGGCAGGTGATGATGGTTCAGGTAAAACCACACTTATGGCTAAAATACAGGGAGCAGAGCATGGCAAGAAAGGAAGAGGGCTGGAATACTTGTATCTAAATATTCACGATGAAGACAGAGATGGTAAGTTTATTTTATATGTAATCTCTTTAATTAAGTAGCTGACATGCTTTTTTAATAACTGTGGTTTCATCAGTGTATTTTGGGTTACGCCCAAGTAGCTGGTCCCAGCATTGTTCTATCAGTTTCTTAAAGGTGAAATGCATTTTACATTCAGTGTACATTCTCCCTCTTGCCCTTCTTACAGCTTGACCTGTGTATGAGGAAAAAGTACACTTGAGTAGCTCTCAGGATCCATTTACTTTTAGGGTAGATACGTTTGCTGATGTTGACTTACTGGCAGATAAGTTGTCATTTGGTATGACTACTTGATATCTATAGAAAGTGATACATCCATAAGAATTTAATTCTTAGTGTGGATTTCTGGGCGTGGGGTTTTTATGTTTTCTTCTGGAGGCTGTGTGCGGAATTTTAGTTAACTATAACAGTGATGTTTTGTTAGACTTGAATAAGTGAAGATCAGAACTTAAAGTCAGAATTAGTATTTCCTTTTCTCACATTGGAGCTTGTCTCTTTGTCCCTTGTCTTTCTCTTTGTTGCTGTTAATGATTGCTCTTCTCTGCTATATGGGAGGAGGATGATGACAAGAGACTGTTTAAAAGCAAGTCTCATGATCAGAATGCTCCTATTTTTAGGAAGTTTAGGGACAGGAAGAGATGGGGAGTGAGTTTGTTATCCTTGCTCCTAAATCTGCCTCTGCTTCTCTCATTTTGGGCGAACTGCTGGACCTCTTTGTGTTAGTTTCTGTCTTCAAAAATGGGGAATGAGACTCTTCCTATTCATGACTTCCTTCTGAGTTTTCAGTTCAGAAGAGGGAAGCAATGATGGTGGTTCATCCATGTTCCTGAAAACAAATGAACTAGGAAGATCCTATAATGCTATTTTGGAAATGGAAATGTACTGAAGGTTTGCACAAGTGATTAAGTACCATATGTGACTGGTTGTTATGGAGATTGGTCCTGCACTCGCATGGTAGTAAACTGTCTTTGGATACTAAGTTAGGCACAATGAAAGGATGAGTACATTGCCTGTGTCTTCAGTGGCCACCAAATCTTGCAGTTTTTAAAAATCTGTTGTGCTTTAATTTGAGTGCTGAGCCATTCTTGGCTTCTTGAGGTTCTTGGTGTAAGTGCTTTCTCACCATGCACAATCTTCTTCAGTACTGCATAAATACTTTAGGGGAAAAAAACCCCTACAGTTAGGAGTGTTAAGACAGCCTGTGACATCAGGCTTCTTGCAACATCAAAGGAGATGGTATTATAAACTGAAAAATGTTTGGTGTGCTATTTTTCCTGGTGCTGTCAAACCTCAAGTATGTCCATGCTTTGGAAGTATTTTGGTGCTATTCCTGAGTATCTGGAAGTGATAAGTATTTGAGGTGATTAGGAGAAGCCTGTCATAAGAACTCAGGCAGCACTAGCAAGAAAAAGAGACCTTTTTGACTGCCGCACTCAGCTGGAGAATTCAGGTCTTCGTGCATCCCTTTAATGGATGTGTTAGGATCTAATAATATATGCCTTTTTCCTTTCTGTCTCATTAATGTCATCAGGAAGCAAAATAAATAGCAAAGTGGGTCAGGACCTCCCAGCAGGCAAAGATAGCACTGTGCCTTCTCTAGGACAGGTTTTGTTTCCTTAAACTCTTTGCATGCTTTAGGTGTGTGTACGCTCAGATACAGATTTGGGAACAAAGCCTTTATAATTGACCCACAATCCTTGGAAGCCATGAAGAAACTCAGGATAGACATTCAGGAGCTTACTGTCACATACTCATTTTTGAGGGTGTCAACTTTTTATTATACCCCAACCTGTTCAAGACCAGGAAACCACAAGGATTTCCAGGGGTGTAAAATCAACACTGGTAACTGAAACTCTGTAGTGGAGCGAGAAGATCTTTTCAGCTTCTTTCCCAGGTGCTAGAAGATTTCTTTACTCTCTTTGCCTTTTTCTTCTTAATTTCAGAAGAGGTTATTCTGTCCAGGAGAAATCTTTTGGTCATAGTGCTGAGTCATTATCTACCTCCCACCTCCCTTTGGAAATCTTAGGGAAAATCTTCTGGGTTGCTTCCTATCCCTTGCCCCCCGCCCCCAAGCCCTTTCCTCCTTAAGGGATATTTGAATCTCGCTCCTCTACATTTAAAGTAGAATTACTCTAGATTGCTAAGTGCATATCTTAGTTTACAGTTACTTTTGTCTTTTCCCCTAAAGATTAGATCAGTGATTAAATTGTTTGTGTTTTTTTTTTTTTTGTAGGAAAGCTAAACAAGTGCATAGAAAGCACCTCTTTTTTGAAGGACCCCTGTGGCTAATACAGTTGCCCACAAGTTTTTGGTTTTCACTGTCATCTGCTTGTTTCTTGGCAGTAGCTGGTATCTAGCTTGGGTGGCAAGCTACACATCACCACTGTGTTGGTAATTAGCTGGTTCAGTTCTGTTAGATGTTAGTCATTCAATGTAACATGCATACTTTGGTACCTAGGTCTTAGGATAACTTAGAATAAGTCTGAATCTGTACCTGAAAAATCTTCCTGGGGTACTATCCCAAATTCTGCCTAGGCCAAGGCATTTGTTCAAGAAGAGGTTTGGGGATGCCTGAGAAGCAATCCTGAGAGAGAGAGGGTTCTCCTAGATTGTTAGCCCCGGGTACAACATCCTTGGAGCATATGGCTGCTTCGGGTTATGTGACACTGTCATTCATCTGGATGAAAGCACTTAGAACACTAGCTGTAAAGTTAACTCAGAATATTAAATGACCTTGGAGCTCAGGCCTCGGAGTCCTCTGTTAGTGGAATTTCTCAGGGAGTGTGGCGTTTTAATTTTTTGCCTTTCTTTGTGATGAGCAGGTGTTTTGTGTCTGTGCTGGTTAGTCTACTTTTGAGAGCTGAGAATCTTAATTCGTAGGAGGTAGAGGAGGGGCTTTGCATAATTTTCTTAAAGGATATGTATTTCTAGAGTAGCTTTCAGAGTCTCTTGCAGTAATGGGGCAGGGTTAAAGTGAGGGTGTACAGCAAGGCAGTGAGACAAACTACATCGACTCGTTTTGTAGTGGTACCGCATGGGTTAGGTGGTGATTATAAACACCACAGAGAATTTTCAGTTGAACTGCTTCAGATCACAAATGCAATACAGTTGTCCTGAGTCTGCCAAATGTGCCAGTGAAGTATAGCCATTCTGTTGTTGCTTTCTTACTTGCAACAAAATCATGTAGCCTTGGTTTTTTGCCTCGGGTTTGGACTCAGTCCTCAGTTGTGTTGTATATGCATATTCCAGTTGAACTGGTTGTTCCAGATTGAGCCAAGTGCTGCTGGTACACTGGTTTCTAATGGGAAAATAGTCTTTTTGTCAACATGTTTAAAGTAGTTATCTTGAAAATTATTTTTCCCTGTTTTACTTTTCTTCACAGTTTGGACAAGGGATGTCTAATTACCGCTGATACCTTTTGAATAAATGTTGGAGATATAGTTGCAGTTCACAGAATCAACCATCTGCAGTAAAATTCATCGAAGCTGGAAAATCTTTCTCATGGCTAAAGGGATAATGAAATATTGACAGGATTTAGAAATGTAGTTTTAGCAGCTATTGTAATAGTCTTTAATAAGTAGCACCTGCTTTTCCAATAGGATCTGGTAATTATTGGCTCTGTTTTGGTGTCTCATGTCGTAGCCGCTATGAAAGGCTCAGTTAACATTCACATCATGTGACTAACTAGGAGCTTGATGTGGTGCTGACAAAGTTGAATTTGCCATCACATCCTTGCCAAATTGTGAACAACCAGTACTATAATTTTTAAGTATGTTTTATATTTGTAGCAAATGTAAATCAAAAGTCATACTTCTTTACTGTAAGAAAGGAGCGAACTCTTTTATTTTCATACAATGTTATTTTTTTTTAAAAGTACATTTTAATGTGAGAGCTAGGCTTCCAGTCTTCGTAGCAGATTGATTTCACTTGAGTGATAGTTCCAACTGCATTCTAGTTCCACCTCTATTATAGTTCCAGTCTGTATTCTAGATGTTAAGCAGAAATGAAATCCTTAAGTAGGACAAAAGTGTTTAGCAAACAGAACCTTAAAGTTACTTAGAAGCAGTGAATTAGGATATTTACTGATTTTTGTTACTTGCTAAGGTGTGAAAGTCTTTCCTGCGATCAAAGCAATCACCACAAGAGAATCTATGGAAGTGCTGCTGAGAGTCGTAAACTTTCATAGGCTATAGGTAGACTTCAGTTAGGTTTTTAAAACTTTCATATTTGCTTCAAGGACACCATTCTGCATAGACATAGTTAATATCTATTAATAACCTTTAACTCCTCGAAAGCTCGCAGGTTTTTTATTCACTGGTAGATTTCTGCTTTTGGGAATACACAAAGGATGCTTCCGGAATGCAGAGGATAGAGTCCTGCATAGATGTTTCGTTTACTATTGTATAATAGTAAACCTGTAAATGTGTTCAAGTTACGTCCTAGCTTCCTTTCTGTTTTCCCAAACTTTTACCAGACTTTCCCTCTGTCCTTAGAGGTCTTCTGATAGCTTTAGATTTGTACATCCTGTGCTGTGAGAGTCCTCTGGGGTATCAGTGAGATGGTTTCCTGAAGTTGGGAGGAGGGAACCAATGGGTGATTATGCAAAGGTGCATTTCTTAGATACACAACAATTATCATTACTGTTTACAGCAACGGACAGATCTGAGATTTGCAGTTGGGAATAAGAAGATCTTTAAGTTAAAAGCGTAACTGTTGGCCTGTTTGTGTGATGACTGATGTTTGAATGTCTTATGGCAGCCTAACAGTACTTAAGTAGGAGTGTAACAAATGCTTAATGAAGACTGCCCACGTATAGCATCTTAATGTAATCTGTCTGTAACTTGGGTGTTCAGTAATTTTATCCAAGACTTCATTAGAAGGGCAGTATATATCTCTGTACTCTTTTCTCCTTCCAACTTCCTTAGTCAAGTTTTTGCCTTTTTCTAGAGCCAGTGTTTTTGATCCTGATGGATTCTTTCCTAGAGTAAAATTATGATAGCCACAGCAACTGGATTTATTTTGTGAAGTTAAAAGATTTGGAGAACAGAGCAGGGAAATAGTGAGGCAGAGTAATTTTGAAGCTCAGTAGCTGTTTTGAAAATCTAGGCTCTGCAGTGATTAGTTTGCTGATCTGTGAATTTCAGAATTCACGTATCTTGTATGTAATACCTATAGAGACCCACTGTTCCCTCTGAACAGCTGTAGTAGAATAGGGAATACTTTGGAAGAGGTACTAGGAAGAGTCTAGAAGATAGAAACAAATGGAGAAAGTTTTTCTCTTTTCAGGAGAAAGTTCTGAGGATGATGTAATTATTTTCTTTTTTAATTTTTCTTTTCTTTTTTTTGAATTTGGACAGAATTGGTTGTTCAGAGTACCTGATACATCATTCCAGGATGATGCTGCATTTTCAGTTTCTTCTATTCTTGCCAGAGTTCAGGTTTGGGGTAAAACTTCTCATGCCAGCTGTCTGTCCCAGCTGATTTCACACATCACCACCTCAACCCCCACCTTGAATTTCAACAAAAAAATGTCCACTTGCTATCAAAACACTGACAGGGAGAAACACGAAACCTAAAATACCAAATCATTTGTCCAGTACTCATTCTGTAAGGAGCCTGCAAGTAGGAGCCAGTGTTAAGTCAGTATGAATTAAGAGTGGGTAGCACAACTTTAAAGTTTGGAAGGTTGTAAGTTTATCCTATGTTTGCTCCTCCTACTCCTGTGCTAGAAACCTAAGCTGCTTATTGCTTGTAGCTTGTTTGCAGCTTATTTCTCTTGTGAGATGTCTTTAGTATGTTAAACCAGCTTATGTGTCTGAGTGACACCTAAGGCTTCCTTGCTGGACTCAGCTATAACCATCCCCTTTCGAATACCGAGTCACATGTGTGTCACATATATTCTGGTTTTACTTGGACTATACGTATTTCAAATTCAGGAATGTTGGGCAGTATCTAAAAACTGTTGTGTCAGCTGTCCTTAGTAAAAGCCAAAGAACAGAAATTTTTTTTTTTGAACAAGAAGATTCTGAACCAAGAAAAAAAATCCTGTTAAATGAAAGCATCTACTGAGTAACGTAAGCATTTACACATACACCCATCTTAAAAATAGACAGGCAAGATCTACTGGTAGCTGAGGTTTGGCCTTCTAATTAACACTAATGTACTCATCTGTTTACTCGTAGACTAGCAAAGCAAAAAGTTGACTTCTCTTGAGTTAAAACTGTACCTTTTCCTTTCAGATCATACTCGCTGTAATGTTTGGATTCTGGATGGAGACTTATACCATAAAGGGCTACTGAAGTTTGCAGTTTCTGCAGAATCCCTGCAAGACACCATTGTAGTCTTTGTTGCAGATATGTCTAGACCTTGGACTGTTATGGAGTCTTTACAGAAATGGGCCAGTGTCTTGCAGGAACATATTGATAAGATGAAAATTCCTCCAGAGGAGATGAGAGACATGGAACAGAAGTGTAAGTCTTTGGGCATCCATACATTCTTGTCTTGTCTTTTTTTTTTTTTTACTGGCTCTTGCAACTTTTGTAACGATAAATTTCTTCACATTGGTGGTTTGAGAGTGGGTTGGGTAATAATTACTTTGAAGTTGGTCCCTTCCAACCCAAAGCATTCTATGATTCTAAGTTGTGATTGCAACTCTAGTTCAAATAGGCTATTAGGCTTTAAAACAACTCTTCCAGTTTTGCTGTGCTAACAAAACATCAGGTGAGTTAATGGTCTAAATCCTTTGCAATAATTTTGATGATTTGATTTTTTAAAAGGCCAATTTTTTTTAAAAAAAAAACAGAATCATGTTTTTGAAAAAAGTGACAAAATTCAGTACTGAAGTGAGCTGTTTGCTTTCCTGTGCTATCTGAGCCAGGTCCCATTCCCATACTGTGTTTGACTTCCAGTAGGTGTCTTTGCCCTTCTTTTTCATGAGGCTCAGGCTGTGATCCTGGTACGTGTAATTGTCTCTCACTACAGCCATTCCTACCCTTGTGACTTTAGGAATGTTGTATAAAGTAACTTTCTTTCCTGGCATATCTGTGGCAGGAAAGAATCTGGCACTGGCAAGCAGTCATTGCTGCAGTATTGTTTCCTGCAGCTTCTTTTCTTTCCTAAAATAGTTTTGAATGTTTATTGAGAGTTTTTTATGTTTTCATATCGAATTACTCCAAAATAAATTCCTTCAGTGGAAAAGACCTTAGCAACAGGCATTCCTCTGCAGCTGAAGTATCGATTCAGACTCATGCGTGCTCATTGCTGCTTTTGTTCAGGGCTGGTGGCTAGCTGTGCCAAAGTGTTTAAACCTTTCAAATACTGTGTAGGAGCTGCCTTAGATTCACTTTAGGGAGCAGTGTAATGTGTTTGGCCTGTGAGCATTCAGAGGTATTTGTATAGCTGATAACCTTTCTGAATGTTAAATATTCCTTTCCCAAAAGGCTTGTGCCTACAGCATGCTAGCTAGAGTTTAAACTTAATGATTGAAACCACCTGGTTTTGATCACTAGCTTATATTAAAAAAAAAAAGGTAGTAAAATCTGACAATTTTTAAGGGAAAAAGCTTTTTGTGTGAGAGATTTTTTGGGGAATGGGAGATGGAAAGGCAGTTCTAGTCGCAAAACACAGCAGCTAACCTGATTTACACTTTTCTGAAACACACCGAGTTTTATGGCAATCCAAGTAAATGTGGATTTTGTGCACTTAAATTTTACTTCTGAAAAGAGAAGTGCTTTCAGCCTTCACTGAGAGCGTACTGTATGGAGGAGCCAGTTACAGCTATGGCAAACCTTTAGCACCGTATTTGGGGAACTTAGAAGACATTCCAATAGTATTGTCTTAGAGATTTCTAAATTACAATAATGTAGAAATGCCTAGTTTCTCTTGCGCTTTAATAGAGTCGAGGGGAAAGGAAAATGTGAGAGCCGCTTAATTCACACGCTTGCAGGACTTTGCTGCCATCCTATGGCTGCCCAGTGAACTTCGGTCCAATGTCAGCATGCAGGTGAAAGAGGCCTTCATGTCTCCACTCCCAAAATTCCATCTCGCTCCTTTCTCGGTCACTGTGCAGAAGACTTGTGTCATGTCAGATACTTGTCTTCTGAGTTCTTGCAGACTGCCACTGGTTTAGGCAGATTAATTGCTTGTAATAATTGTTGGATGGTAGGTCCATATTTGACTGGGGATTCTTAAGAAGTTAAAGGTCCCCTTTCTTTCCAAATGGCTTCATGAACATGGGGTACCTCAAAGACAGACTTGGAGTCTGTCCATGTATTAGTGGTTTTGTCCTTTGATAATTCTAATGCTCTTAGTAGGGCTTTGCTTTCTGGGCCGACATGTTGGATGACAGAGCTTTAGCCTCAATTACTTCTTTAATGGTTATCACTGCATATCCTCCTTTTTGCATTCCATCCCGCATCAAGCTGCTGCCATCCACGAACAGGTCCCAGTCCACATTGTGTATTGCTATGTCTTTCAAGTCCACTCTGCTGAAGTACGTCTGTTCCATCATTTGCAGACAGTCGTGAATTAATTCTCCATCAGGATCAGTAGTTAGAAAGGTCGCTGGATTCAGGATGCTGGTTACTTTCAGTTCCACATCGTCTTGTTCCTAAAGGATGGCTTGATATTTCAGCATCCGACTTGGTGACAACCAATTTCCTCCTTTTTGTTCTAGAACTGCTATAACTGCATGGGGCACAAATACAGTTAGTTTTTGCCTGAGTGTCAATTTTCAGGCCTCTTGGATCAACAACACTGTAGCCGCCACTGCTCAGAGACATGTTGGTCATCCTTTGCTGACATTGTCTGGTTGTTTTGAAAAGTACCCCATGGGTCTTTCTCACGATTCTAGTCTCTGGGCCAACACTCTTAAGGCAATATGTAGTCTTTCATGTACAAATAGTTCAAATGGTTTTTCTAAATTTGGGAGGCCTGAAGCCGGAGCACTCATTAAGGTTTGTTTAAATTTTGTAAACACATCTCTGGACTACTGAGTCCAAGCTAGGAGGTCTCCTTCCGCTTGTACAGCCTCACATAAGGGTTTAGCAGTGAGTACAAAATTCATTATCCAAAGACAACACCATCTGGCCATTTCAAGAAATGCCTTAAGTTCTTGTTTTGATTTGGATTCGGGGATTTGACAAATAGCCTCTTTCCTTTCGGTTCCAAGACAACGCTGGCCCTGGGAAACTGTGAATCCCAAATACATTACTTCGTGCCAGGTAATCTGTGCCTTTTTCCGGGACGCTTTGTACCTCGCCAGTCCCAAAAAGTTTAGGAGGTCTATTGTCATTTGTATAGAATCCTCCTTATACTTGCTGCTAGCAATATATCATCTATGTACTGCAGTAAGGTGATATTTTTGTGCATTTTTTTTGCCAGTCTTCTAATTCTTTGGCCAATTCGTTTCCAAAGATTGTAGGGCTATTTTTAAATTTTTGTGATAATGCTGTCCAACACAAATGAGTTTTTCTACCAGTTTTAGGGTTTCTCATTCAAAAGCAAATAGTTCCTGACTCTCAGCTGCTAGCAGGAGGTAAAAGAACACATCTTTCAAGTCCAGTACAGTAAACCATTTATCTGTTTCCCTCACGGTGGTTAGCAGAGTATACGGCTTTGCTGCTACCGGGTGGACATCCTGTACGATTTGATTTATAGCCCTTAAATCCTGAACTAATCTATATTCTTCTGAGTTTGGCTTTTTAGCTGGTGATATCGGAGTGTTGTATTCTGATTGGCATTCTCTCAATAACCCAAAATTTACGAACCGTTGTATTCTAATCCTTTTCTAGCTTCCAGTTTAATTGGGTACTGCTTCTGTCATACCGGTCTGGTGTCTGGTTTTAGTTGGATGACTACCGGTTCTGCCACTTGGGATCACCCTGATGTTCCTGAAGCCCATACTAGAGGTGTTAGAGCATTTTCAGCTTCTTCTGGTATTTCCTGTAACTCTCCTTCTTTCTGCAACACAAAAATTTGGGCATGCAAAGCTTTATTTTCAGGCATATGGATTTGAATTCTCCCTTTTGCAAAAGTAATTTATGCATTCAGTTTACTTAATATATCCCATCCTAATAGCGGCATGGGGCAGTCCAGTATATAGAGAAATTGATGCGTTAACACCCTTTTCCCAATTCCAAACTTCATAGGCTGGAAAACCAGCTGATTTTCTTTCTGTCCTGTGGCACCAATAATCAGTGTGCTCTGATTACTCAAATTGCCCCTGCATGTATTTAGTACTGAATAGGTAGCTCCCAGATCTACTAAAAATCTTATTTTCTCATTCTCCAACTTTACTGTCACCAGAGAGTGAATACTCGATTCTGTGACTCTGGTGTGTGCTGGAGTCCTCATGATTCCTCTGGCCTGTCGAGATTCCGGAGAACTAGTCCCATCTGGGTCACCGAATTCTGTTACTGGAAATTGTAACCAAGAAAACTCTCCAAACCAAATGATAGTTTAGAAAGGCAACATTGGTTTATTGTAGCGCTGGGTGCATGGGGGATTCCTCCTCCTAGCATGCACACCAAGCCACGTGAAGATACACATTATATACAATAAAATAATAACCTATTCATAGACATTGCATTTTCATTGTTATTCACACACAGGATTGGTTATAAGTTTCTTGCTCCTAATGTAAATTAGTATGCATCCTCAGATAGCACTAGTGAAGCCTTTTTATCAACTACGCGTGCTCCCCAAGCGGGATTTTTCCCTCTTTTGGGGACACCAATTGAGTTGGAGGTCGAGATCTGCCACTACTACAATTACCTCTGTCCTGCTTTCAGCCGATTTACTGCTGATGTCCCTGGCTTTTAAGATTTTATCAGCTTATCTCCTCTTTCGACCAGAACTTCCTCCCTTGAAGGCCTCTTTTTGTGTTCTTAGTAACGGTGTTCTCTTCATTATTTGTTCTTTGTCTTGTTAATTGTTCTCAACCTTGGGATGTCAGGCTAAAGAAGGGGCCTGTTCTCTGTTCTTTGTATACTGACTAAATTGGTTAAGTCTTCGATATCAGTCACAGAAAAATTTTCTACGTTTTTCTTGTTCTGCTGTTCAGTGCTTTTATGATCTGCCTAGTTATGTAAGTTGTAGTGTTTGTCTGCCATTTCCATATTGCAGTTAAACAGTACTCTGAGACTGAGGATTTTATTGTTACTAGGACAGTTAAACCTTAAAAATATTTGTGGATTGCTTTCTTGATTGTACTTCCAGTCAGTTGCTCCTGTGCCATGAATGATACATCTGTTTTTGTTACAGTTAACTTTCAGTACCTTGTGTAAATGAGCAGTAACAGGAAACAAAGCAGTTAACTGGAAACTTGCATTCATTTGCTGTGTTAAATGCAAAAGTCTAAATAAAAGGCGCTTTTCCTAGATAAGCCACAAGTTTGGTAGATAAATCAGCACATGGTAGCGCAGGTGAGATTTTTATGGTATATCGTCACCTGATGAGAATTTTTCAAATGTAGTAGGCCATTCCTAGTACTCGACCTTACTGATAGGTAGCAGAATAGTACTGATTTGTCAGATGAACAGTTCTTTTTCTGGCTTCCTATTTTATGTGCATAATCTTACCTGTATTTCCTGTTCAAAAAAAAAATTAAACCAAAGTAGTTTTCCACTAATTCTTAATACAGAAAACAGTTATTTCCCATACCATATAGAATATGACTCCTTAATATGAATTACGTGGAGGAGAAAATATTCATAGCTTACTAGAAAAAAGGAAAAGGAAAAGATTTGTACAAGCTGTTTGGGCCCATGATGAACTTTATGTCCATTAAAAGTTTGAGAGTGGAGCTCAAGTGAGAAATAGATAGGGGAGGTAAGGAAGAAGTGTTAAGTTGCTGTGTGACAAAGAAACACTTCAACTGAAGTGAGCTTCTTTATTAGCTGCTTAGAATGCAGTTTGTTCATAAGAGGTAGTCTGACAGCACTTGTGATGCAGGTTTACTTGGATTTAACAAGAATAAAGTTTGAATGGGAATGGGGATTGAGTGAGTCTTTTAAAGTGTTTAAAAACCTATCACTAACAGGCACTTAAACCACTTTAATTCAGAAACAAGTGTATCTGCGTTCAAAATACAGCAGTTAGAGGTTCTTAGTGTAGCTTTTGCCTTCTTTTAACTCCATGCTTTTAATGCTAGTAGTTACTTGTTCAGTAGACATGCTTGTTAACTAAAGCTGAGTGTTTTCTGTAGCGTTGCTCAGTCTCTGATCAGGGCTTAATGCCAGACCATATGCATTATTAACAATCCACAACAACAGTTCATCACCACAGTGAAGCTGTTTTTCCCTCCATGCATGGATCAACCAGAGTGAGATAAGGCCTTGTGGGTTGCTGATCTGTGATGCATGGTGTTTGGTACTGCTTACTCTCGGGGAGAGGGAAGAGTTGGGACTCTTGCCTCTCTAGGATTATGGTCTTCATTCCCATTCACCAGAAATTCATCAGGATGTGCCATCAGATTTCTGAAGTTTCTGTGTTGTGTTTGCTATTATTTATATTAGTAAAATTCTTAGGATATCTTGAATAATGATTTGTATCATATGGTCAGAGTCTTACTGTTTCCAAGAGAAGCTTTTCTTTCCCAGATTTGAGGGGGTTTATACTAATAGATATCTCAGTAAAGAAAAGGTTTTTCTGCTTTGATATGAACAAAACTTAGGAAACTAATATTGTCTGATTACAATGCTGTAGTACGTTGAGAGCGGTATTGTCAAATATTCTTTTACATCTGATTAAGTCAGAGAGGTTTGTCTGAATGATTGTAGTGAATGTAAATGATGTTCTTTTAACTGCTGTAGTACACTTGTCTTCAGTAGGTTTTTTTTCTATCCTGAGCTAGGAAGAGTCTGAGTAATAAAATAAGTACTTTTTAAAAACCCTTTTCTAGTTAAATACTCTGGAATGGCTTTGCGTTCTTTGAGATAGTCAGTAAACGCATTTAATGTGCGGAATGTATAATGGAATTTTGATTTCCAGTTGCTGAATGTGAAACAGTACTAGAGGAAAGCATCTCTCTGAAAGCACTGTTGTTTCCTTTCCACCAGACGGCACTGCCTCCCCAAGTTTAAAAGCAACTGCATTCAAAATTTTTTTTTTAATTTCGTTGGACCTTAGGATATATTGAATTAGTGACTGGAATTCTTATGGTCTTTATTTAACTTTTTTTTTAAGCTTTTCTCTGGACTAGAGGTCTCTTGTTTTCCACATGAATCACACAATTTTATATTTCAAATAAAAATTGTAGATTGTGCAGCTTTGAACAGAAGTGTTTTTCTGATTTGTCCTTCCTTCCACATGCCCATTCTATTGCAGGAATGGTTCCTATTTTGAAAAGGTACAGTGACTTCATTTTGCAAGATCTGTATTATAAACTTTCCTGAGGTTTTACCACTTCCTAAACCTCAGAAGTATCAGATGGCCTGCAGTACAGTTGCAGTTCCTTCTCTGTCACATGGATGGCTCTACTGAACAACACTCTCTTTGTGACTGTGCTGGAGATTGGGAGCTTTTTCGAAGAGTTTTCCTTACTGTGCGTACAGTCAGTCTGCTCCCACTGTTTCTAAAATAAAAGATGCCTTCATGGGAGCAAATCATGGAGCTTTACTTGCCTCTTTCCTGAGTGTTCCTCATGGCTGAGCAAGGAGGAGGCTTCAGGTGGGATTGTCATGTGAGGGAGAGCCCTGGGCCTTTGGGCAATGCTGTGCCTGGGAGCAGACACGTCTAGCAGGCAGATTTATCTGCATCCGGAAAAAAGACAAAAGCTTGAAGTTGCAGCCCAGTTTTGATAAAGCATGTGTGGGGTCATAGTGCACTTCCAAAGTGGTGTTAATACTATTTCTTTAGCACTTTACTATTTTATAGTATTCAGTATTATTGGAACACTCATCATTGCCATAAAATTAAAACACTGAAAACATAGAAAGCGTCTAGTTTCCTCTGGACTCCACTGTAGTTTTCCAGAATGTAACTGAGTCTCTTCAGGTAACATTTAGAAGACCTAGAGTCTGTATTTATGCAGTGTATTTCTTATATTTCTAGCATTGGACTCCTGCAACAGAAATGTAAAGTAATAGAAACGTAAATTGACTAATAGTTCATAAGAAAGAGTAGCTGTTTCAGCTTGGTGTTTTCTGTGTCCATTTATATTTTCACCATGCTTTCTTCCAAAACTGGGTACAAATTGAGTATAGGCTATGTTGCTAAACTACATTTATGTTTTCTGTTGTCAACTCCTGTATAATGAAATGCATTGAGTTGAGAAATGTGCATACTATAGCTCTTGGAGCTAGTTTTGATTATTTGTGATGCTCCAAACTGCACTTGATTTAGCTTGCTGTAAATTTTGGTGGAAGGGAATGGTTGTGTTTGAAGGGGCAACACAGCTTAAGCTTGCATTCTGTTCTCATGTAGTGCCTCATTATAAAAAGAAAAAAAGAGATTTCTAGTTAGTCATAGATTAATTATAGTTTAAAAAGAACAACTAGTTCCTTTGTTGTACCTTAAGAAGATCGATCTCTCTCTTAATAGTTATAAAGGAGTTTCAAGAGTATGTAGAACCTGAAGAAGGCTACCAAGGGTCGCCACAGAGAAGAGGCCCTTCTTCTGGCCAAGAGGATGAACATGTTTCTTTGCCACTTGGAGAAAATGTGCTGACTCACAACCTTGGTATTCCTGTGCTGGTAGTTTGTACAAAAGTGAGTTTCTAGTTCTATTTACTACCATTGAAAAGTTTAATTACTTTTCTTTTAGAAGGCATTCTTTATACATACATGCAGAATGAATTCTGCACTAATACTAAAGGGATTTATTTTAAAAGTAAGCTTCTATCATCAGTGTCAATTTTTAATTTTGCAGAAGGGTAATAACCTTACCAATTAATATGTTAACTACTTTGTCTTTTGATTAATTGTTGGCATTTTAAAACCAAAGATTCAAAGTAAATATGTGTGTAATATCAAGGAAGATGTCCTGAGATGTGCTGGGCTTAAATGACTGGGTTTTTCTGGTTTTGTTTTTCTCGCTTTCTTCCAGTGCGATGCAGTGAGTGTGCTAGAGAAGGAGCATGATTACAGAGAAGAACACTTTGATTTCATTCAGTCACACATCCGTAGATTCTGCTTACAGTGTATCCTTTCCTCGCTGAAGAGATTTGCTGTAATCTGGGACAAGAAAATACATTTTAATATTGAATTGCACCTTAAAGTTAATCTGAGAAATTGCACTTCAAGATTACTTGGTATTTAGTTATTTACTACATAGCATTTATTGTTTTGAAAATGTTGAGAGATGTATAAAACTTTTATACTTTTTAAATTGTGCATGCGATTTGGAGGTTTTTTCCTTTACAAAGGATTTGTCTTGCATTTTACGAGGTGGTTTTTCTTGGTTTTCCCCTCAGAACTTGCAGTTTGCATGTAAACCTGAGATCTCAGCTGTCTCTTAAGTTTTTGACTTTTTCAAAGTTGAGTGCCTGGGAGAGTAGGTAACTTTTTTGTATGTCAAAGAAAAGTATCATGAGTCTTCTCCTGTTATATACCCTTTCTCTCCCTGAATACTAAATGACTATAGCTTTTGCCTTGAACTACTTCTCAAAATTAGGTCTAGTAGATATATGTCCATTAGCTCCTGTTTTGAAATTCTTACTATAATTTGAGAGCTATATCTGACATAATTTTCCTTAAATAAATAATCAGATGGGGCTGCCTTGATTTATACATCAGTTAAGGAGGAAAAGAATCTTGATCTGTTGTATAAGTACATTGTACATAAAACATACGGTTTTCAGTTTACCACGCCTGCCTTAGTGGTAGAAAAGGATGCAGTTTTTATGTAAGTTAATTGTATAAGTAGCATGGTTTCAGATTGTTTTCTATTAAGCGCTGCACTTCATATAACATACATATAAAAATAAATTGAATGCTTTGTGTCATTCAAAAGCTTAGCTGAATTAAAAAAACAACTTAGTGCATATTACTGGGGTTACTTGACTTAGTATACCATTCCAACTTTTTAGTATCTTTGGAATTTAGCTGAGAATTTAGAACTGACCTGTAATAAAACTGCCTTGTTCAGGTAGAGGGCAGTAAATAAGTGGTCACTGTAGAAGTGCTTTTTGTGACTGAAAAGGCAAAGCTTGCTTTCTTTTTATAGACCTGCTGGTTGGGATAATGAAAAGAAAATTGCTATTTTACATGAAAACTTCACAACAGTGAAACCAGAAGATGCATATGAGGACTTCATTGTAAAACCTCCTGTACGAAAGGTAAGGAGGAGTAAATTATTCCTACCCCCCAACAAATAAGTGCAGTTTGCTTGAATGGCTGCTAATAACTATTAATATTGAAGAATAATAAATCTAAATGTAATTTTTTTTTGTCCAAATGTGTGAAACATCAGGTTTTCATTTTCCAATTGTTTAAAATACTGCAAGCAAACACAGAGATCATTCACCTTAGTGAATGAAAGGCAGTCCAAAGATAACCTTTTGACGTGAAGATTTTTGCATGCGTGGGGCAAAAACACTTTTTGAAAATGGAGAATACTGTTGTAGGACTTCAACAATCTATATATATATATACACACATGGCATTGAGATTACCATGTAAAGGCAAATCTTGTAAAACAAGACAGTATATCACTATTGTATTACTATATTATTAATGACAGATTTCCTCATGTAAGGCAAGAGCAGTAAATAATCCATATAAATTCTGTATATTGCTAATTTTGTGAGTATAGGCACACAGGAATAGGATATGTGTAAAATGGATAATATGGAAGACTGTAAATTAAATTGTATTCTAGTCTGTATTGGAAAGCTGCTTTTACAACTTTCATATACGCTTAACATTTCTAGCTCAAACCCCAGTATTTGGAAAAGGGAGGAGTACTGTTTGAAGCTTTCATGTAAGGGAAAGGTTTAATCCTGTTGTTTGTAACTCATGGCACCTATAGGAAATAATCATTGCCTAATAGTGTAGTGACTGATAAAAGCTAGCATAATGCTTTTGGGAGCTGAGGGATTGAGTGTCAGGTCTTATGGAGTAAGGTAATCTCAGATCTTTGAAGACATGCTGATGAGATTAATATCTAAATTTCAAAAGATGAATGTGGCTACTTATCAGGCACTCATCTTTCTAGAATACCCACAGACTGGCATCAATGCTCGTCTACTCCATTCACTTATTTTTTTTTTTTTTAATGACAACTTACTTTAACATTACTACTCTTTTAAAAGTGAAAGAAGTTTGTTTTTTTTTTTTAAAAAAGAGTAGTATTAAAGATTTGCCTCTCTTTCTTCCCTTTTGAAACATAAGAACAGTTGCAGTAATTTCAGTTTTTACTTCTAATAACAAAATATTTTGTTCAACAGTTAGTCCATGATAAAGAGCTGGCAGCAGAAGATGAACAAGTATTTCTTATGAAACAGCAGGTAAGAATGGAAAAGTGAACGCAAATCCTTACTAAATAAGCTTTCTCTTTAAGCTCTCCATTGTTACTGCCTTCAGTTTTTCAGTCCTCATTTAAATCACTAGATAGCCACTTTTCAGCTTTGCAAATTCAGATGTAATTGTGAAATAAGACTTTTAATTATTTTAACAAATACAGGTAGAAAAAGTGGCCACTTATCTTGGCAAATTGAAAGGAAAATATGCTGAGAACAGAAATAATTTACATTTCAAAGGAGAAGAGCAAGCTGGTAATTTGAGATTTCACTACATAGATGTACTGATCTGTAAAGAAATACTTTAAAAAAATAACATCTTAGTGTTGCAGTTGTCTTACAGCCAGAGGCTTGAAAGACTTTAGTCAAATTTAGCCATGCTGTATCTTGTTATTTTCTTTTCTGCTCTGTTGTTTAAAAAAACCAATACTTTCCTGTATAGCTGATTATAAATATCATAGAGGTTACAGACTTGGGTGTCTATAGTTCTGGCTTATAGTTCTGGAATGGCTGTGTAAGACAAAGAACTGAAGCTTATTTACTCATTTTAACTCTGTCCTCTAGTGGTAAAGCCTGGAAGTATATAAATATCTGTATACCGGAAAAAAAAAATTATCAAATAAATTAATAGTTATTCAGCTTCATTGTATTTTATTCCTTTATATTTTCTGAAATGTATTTAATATGCTTAATATGTTGTTTTTGCAGTCATTCCTTGCCAAACAGCCAGCAACGCCTACAAGAGCATCAGTAAGTAGATCCAAGAGAAGAGTCGGGAGGTATTTTGTTTCCTTCTAGGGAAGAGGGAATGATTCTAACCTGTGGAGGTTCATTTTTTTTTAAATGTACATGTAAAATACATAATGTCCCCAAACTGCGGAAGGTAAATTAAAAAAAAAAAATGGCCATATATTAAAAAGTTGTGTATAAATTACTTCATTCTTATTCACTGTGGAAGCATAGAAATATCTGATGATTATTGAACTCCAAATTTCCTACAGTTCTTCATCCTTTCTTTTAGTGGAGGCGTATGCCCAAAGTAACTGGTGTTGTGTTCTTTGGTTTTTTTTCCCCAGTGTGCATACACTACAGTGTTAATATAAAGGTTTAAAAAGTAACTTGTATGTAATGTTATGTTTGCTTTATATAAATAATCCATTTAAGTTCTTCTCTGATTTGTGTGATTTTGACTTTTTTTAAGGAATCTCCTGCAAGAGGCCCTGCAGGATCCCCAAGAACTCAAGGCAGAGCTGGTCCCGCCAATGTACCCAGTGCCTCACCGATAACATCAGTTAAGAAACCAGATCCAAATATTAAAAGTATGAATAAGCATTTTACTGTTTTTATCATGTGTTATTTCCCTTAAAAAAAAAAATCCTCTTTTGTAGAAAGATTTTGGAATTTATTCACTAATGGTATAGTTTGATAACAGGAATGAATTTATGGCATAGCTTCAGGTTTGATTCTGTCTTTTTTTTTTTTCTTCTTTTTCTTGTCATTCATATGACTTGAAGTAGAGTTCTGTTATTGCCAAGCAGTCAGACAGAGTTCAACTACATTATTTCCTTAAGTTGCCTGAATACATTTATTATGCATAAGTTGGATTATTAGAGTAGGGACTGATTTGAACTTTATGCAGTTTTATACTTCATATCCCTTATTCTGGAATCCACAATGAAACCTGTTCTGCTAAATCCTGTCTACAATGTCATTTTCTACAGTATGTGAAGTAACTTGGAAATGACACCCTTTCCCCTCCCTCAGTCCTAAGATGGAGCTCCATGTTGCTCCTCTCTGTTCATTAAGAAAACTGGTAGGGCCATTACTGTTTTTAATTATGCACTGTGGTGCCATACCTCATTTACAGTGGTTAAAATACTCATGCAGTTCTGGATCATGTCTCATTGCTGTATATCCAAGTTCTGATTTATGGAAGGTAGTGTGGCATGAAAGACTGCACTAAAATGTCTATGCAGTTTGTTAATGGACTTATAAATCTTTGAATTGCACATCCATACTTAATACTTTGTTTCTTGGCTTCTACATCTAGAAAAACCAAAAGCATACAAATATTTAGATTAAAATTTTGTGAACCCCTCCCCCATTCCATAAGACCGGTAATATGCTTTCAGTCATCTTTGACTTTGCCAAAGAATGCAAAGGACTAATGCCTTTAAATTGAGCAAGGAGAGATTCTCTCATATTTGAAGGTTAATTTGCTTGATTGGTAACAGAGTTAAGTATGTATGTAAAAAATCCGTTCTATCATTTACCAGCAATAACTATTCTGAGAGAGAGAGAGAGATTAATATATATTTGTTTTTTATTTAGATAATGCTGCAAGTGAAGGTGTCTTGGCTAGTTTCTTTAACAGTCTCTTGAGCAAGAAGACTGGCTCTCCTGGGAGTCCTGGTGCTGGAGGAGTGCAAAGTGCAGCCAAGAAATCAGGTATTCGACTTGTTATTGCAGGCTGTTTTGCATATTTTTAATATTTTGTTTGGCCCACATTGGTCTAACTGTGTGTATCTTTTAAACTGGTCAGTAAAGTGACAGACCTTGACAGAAAACAGTGCCAAAATGTGCAGCCTTTAAAAAAAGGACTAAACTACTACAACTTCACAACTCCAAGGTGTCTGTTAAGCCTGTTAGAACTTGAGTCTTCATGTGAAGTTATACTGCTGCGATATAAATAACATTTGAGTCTATTCCGGAAGTGCTAATTTCTTTTTTTACTTTATAATTCCTTCCTTTCTTGACACTTAACTGTTGCTTGAAGAAAATGCAGCTTATTGGGTTTGGATTGTAGTTTCCAGTCAAAGTACTGAAATCTCTCCAGAGTTGAAGTTTGAATGAATTACTTCTTATGACATCTTGAAGTTATTCTCTCATTAATTATTTAGCATTTTTTTTTGTGATCCAACACAACTGATAACACTGATCAAGTGGATTTGTTCTGTGTATGTGCCTATGATTGCATTGTATGCAATATTTGCTGATAAGTAATTGCACAAGTTTAGGTGAAAATAAAAGAAACCTGTCAGAATACTTGCTATATACAAAATTCAGTGTTGTAAAACACGTTTGTTCTACCTGCTATTAGAAATTTATTACTTTGATTATTTAACTGTTTCTTTTTGATATTGGCATTCCCATCACACTTAATGTTCAGGAGCTTTCCTTCCAGAATTATTTCACTACTAAATTATTGATAAATATTCTACTTCTGATGCCAGACTTGTGAAGTCATGTGAAATTTCACAGTGATGCTAAACCCACAGTTTCTGATTCTTAGAGGAGGGTGTAAGGCCCAGACATTCTGAATTGGAAATGAAAAATATTTTATGCCAACCACAGTGATCATATTGCCAATAAGAGAACCAGAGCAGTTGTTGGAGTGCGGGTGTTTGAACTGAAACTACTCCTGGAGAGGGGAAGTAAGGATTTTTTTTTTTAACTTGGAAAGGGTTTTATATAACAGTCCATGCTCTGAAAGCTCAAAAATGGCTAGAATTTGACTTAGGCAAGTTAGTATTTTGTTGGGGTTTTTTGTTTGTTTTAGCATATTGAATCATGTAATTTATATTTATGAAATTTATTTATAATAAAGATAACAATAAAATAGTTATTTGTATTATGTATTATCTATGTAATATTGTTGTATCTACATTATAAAATATTTAATTAATTCTTTCTTAATCCAGAATGCCCTCTTCAGTTAAACAATGAAAGATGTCTCCTACTTCATCAAGTGCAGCCTTGTGCTATTATTGACCACAATATAAAATTACCTGTTTTTATAGAAATAGGACTAGAAATAATTTTTAGGGATTACTTCATCCATGCTCTTTATTTAAAGCAGAATCAGTTAGGGAGTTCCTGGCTAGTGAATAAAAAGCAAACAAACTCTGAAATAAAAGATGTAATGTCATCTCTCCAGGAAGCCTATTCCAGTACTTAATTTCTTAGTTATTTTTTTCTGTTGCACAGTCAGTATTTCTTAATCTGAATACTATTTGTCTTATTCGAGTGGAGACAGAGATCAGTGCAGCCCCTTTGTCTTTGCAGCAGTCTTTTGCGTATTTGAAAGCTATTACCCTTTCGCCTGTGACTTTTTTGTCTGGACTACAAAAATACAATTCTCTTGGCCTTTCCTCACAGGACATGTTTTTATGGCTCTGATAATTCTTACTGTTCTACTTTGGACTGTCTACTCAGATGACTTGTTTCTTACAGTGCTCAGAAATGAATGCAGTACTTCAGACAAGGCTTTGTCTGCTCTATGTAGGGGTTACTTAATCTGTGATATATGTTGTGCTTCTTTTTAGATGTCTCAGCGTGATGCTATTTTTTTTAATCTGTATGATATTGATCAGGATTTGTTATAACGATACAGCCAGTTTAATACAATTTCTGCCTCCTAGTAGAAGGTTTTCTAGTCTGTATCAAATTACCTTAGCATTTCAAAAGGTCTTATGTTTGCTTAATCATTGTTTTCCACTGTATTATTATGCACCACTTCGATAATTTATATAGATAACTTTTTACCTCCAATCCTGTCTTTCAAAATCCTTTGTAGTCCCTTCAAGCATGCTTGTCTACATACCTGATAACTTGAACAGCTGGGCAGGGTAGATTGCTGAATAAAAATATTGACTAGTACTATGGATAACTAATGGGTAATTTTATGAATTACAATACATTAATTTTTCTGAAATATCAAGACTGGTTTTTTTCTTAGTTTATTTATAGGAAGGTTATGTGAGATGCGATATTGACCACTTCTCCCTTCTCCACAGGACCTGTTATCCTATCATAGAAATTTGGTTGGCTTGACAGAACTTGTTGGTAACAGATCTGTGTTGATTGTTGTGCTGGTAGGCTGTTTGTAAGCACCTAAAACATAATTGCAATTTCTGGAAAAAATACTAGAGTGAAAACTAACTAGTCTGTAATGGGCTTTACTCTTTTCTCTTCCGGTCTTCTAGACCATCATGTGCCTTTCAGGAGTTTTCAAAGATAACAAATGGCTATGTGTACCTTTTTTTTTTTCCCTTATGTCAGCATTAACTTCTAATTGAAATAGGTTCTGTCTTTCCTGAAACATCTAGAGACAGCAGTCATACAGACTTTCTTAACTATCTTGTTTTGTTAGACTAAATTAGACAAGTTGTCTTCTAGTCTTCTGCTAGAGGTTGAGCTCTGTTTTCCGTACTAGTTTCTTCTTCATTAGTTCCCATCATTGACTAATCTTTTGAACATGAGTGATTAGAATTGTGTGCAGCACTCCAGATACATCTCATTGTAGTGCCTGGTACAGAAGTTCTCTTTCTTTGGTGGAAGTACTTACGAGTGATCTCAAGATTGCAGTTGGCTTTTCTTGGCTGCATCAAGTTGGCAGCGCATGCTCATTCCCTGACTTTTGGAACAGAACAGTCAGCTTTCACTCTCAAGAGAATATGCCTTTTCCTTGTCAGCTGATGTGCTCACATCTTATATTCAACCAATATAAGATTAAACTTTCCTGAGAAGGTAAGGGCTCCTAACATTGGTATCTGAAAAGCTCTTGTTGAGTTTGTAAGCTAGCTGGAGCTGGTGATAACAGAAAAGAATACTTGCTCTTTTGTGAAAGAATTGAGGGGAATATCTTGGAGAAAGCCTTATTTATGGCAGCATCCTCCATGTGAGTAAATGTGCTAAAATTATCTTTGTAGGCATTTTAAATGTTTAATGTAGAGTGTTTAAAAGACCCTAAGTTTTCAGAAGGTTGACATTAAAAATGTTTAAAGAGACCATCTGTTTCTCCCACAGCTATGAATATCCTGTGGTTGAAATGTTGAGATTCTGTCACAGGATGAGGTAGACATTGTGGATCTCAACATACTGGTCAGCCTAATTGATTGATTGGTTTCTGCTGTGTTAATTCTTACTTGAGACAACTCTCTCATCTGGGCAGATGCTGCAATGTCATGTCCATTTTTCACGCTGTGTTAATTCCTCACCCATCTTACTTGCCTTTATGTTTCTGGACTGCCTTTCTTCTGCATGTAGACTGTGACATTTCAAAGAACTTCAACTGGTGGTTTCTGTCTTGGATTATTTTTCTTTGCATGGACTTCTAGACTTTAAAAGGTATTTAATTTATATTCACAAGAAGATTCTTGCAAATTCTAAGATTTGCCTTCACCTGACTCTAATCTAAAAAGGAGAATGCATATAGTTGTATAGAACACATGCAATTGACTAAGGCCATTATCGTCCTTGACAGTATTTTTGTAGGGAGACTGAAAGCCTGTATCAATTTAATTTATAACAGAAGGGAAATTTTTATTTTCTTAAAGCAGCTTCTTGTATTTCTTCTCCTTTCAAAAGTGCTCACCTATGATGGTGGTAAAGAGGAGTATGTAGACCTACGTTATCGTTAAACAGCTTGGCAATGTTTTTCCTGTCTGGTATGAGGTAGTTGCAGGAGACAGATGCTTGATATTATTTTGGAGGCTTAAGGATCCAGTTCATCTAACATTAAAAAAAAAAGCCACAGTTTTTGTTTAGACCTACTTTAGTTTGAGCAGGAATTTTGTGTGTTTTTTATTGTTTTAGGGTTTAGGGTTTTTTAACTCCAAGGGGCCATTAGTCTACATGTAAAGTATTTTGTATTGTAAGTTATAGTACAATTGATGTACTAATTTTTTAATTTTGTTTAAAAACTTATGCTTTGAATAGATGCTAGTAAGAGTATTGTGGCTTACAACTGCTGCTTAAATCTAAAACCTTTACAGTGATTAAAGGTAACCTTTTAACTTGGTTATGTTTTTGTGCTTTGGAAAAAAACAAATCTCTAAGAGTCAAATCTTGCGTTCTTAATGTCTTCAGCATGTACCTTGGAAAAAATCCACCTAATATTTCACACACATCTGAGCTGGAAAACAGATGCTTGTTAAATTCTTTGGCTATGTAAGGAAGCTGTACATGGTTATATAATCTACTTTTTCTCTAAATATATAGCTTTTTAATCTTAAATGCTTGTAATGCTCTAAGCATGAGAATATATTGTTCCAATTTTAGCAATTAATTTGGCTGTGGGTTTATAATTTTCAGAATGAGAGAATTAAACTGAAGGTTAAGTTAGAGAATTGTTTAAAAGTTTTGAGTCTAATATAAAAATGTAAGATACGCCTTTCCATGAAACACTTCAGTATGTCTGTTTCCAATTGAAGAAGTCCTTTGAAATGACTGCTCTGAGACATTACATGAATATGCAATTCATGTCCCCTTTTTTAAGGGAAACATTGTCTGCAGACATAAGAGTTCTTCCTGTTAGTTGTTTAGTATTAAAATGCAGCAAGTATAAGTGTGACCAAACAAATGTGATTTTTGTAGCAGGTGTCCTAGGTACCTTGGAAAACTTGTGGTCAAGCTCTGGGTTTAAATAAAGTCCTTGCTGTCAATACTAATAATAGAATCGTGTACAGTTGATTTTTATAGAAAATTCTAAATGTGTTTGTTTTTAAAATGTTAGTTTCTGTAAAATATCACAGATATTTTTGTGCTTTATGCTGCTGTGTAATTCAGCAGTTTATCTCTTTAAAGTGAATCAAACCTTAGTATTTCTCAGCCTTTACATAGGCATGACCTTGCATTGTGTCAGGCCCTGTGTTCTTGGGAAGGTTGGCGAAATAGTGAGAAATGAAATAATAATATTGTCATATAAAAGTGATTTTATGAATACTTGTACTTATTGGTCAAAACATTTCATTGAAGTTAGATTGCTTTAACCTTGTCCTTTTTCTTTTTAGGACAAAAAACAGTTTTGACAAATGTTCAAGAAGAATTGGATAGGATGACTCGCAAGCCAGACTCTATGGTAACAACAAACTCTCCTCCAACAGAGAATGAAGCTTGATAGCGCATAACAAATGCATATGTAAATGACCAAATAACTATGTATATTGATCTGATAAGACCAGGAATTTTCTGCTATGGCAGATGCTATCAGTTTTCTTGGGGCAGGGGAAATGAGCTTACTACATCATTGCCTTGTCCCAGTAAAAAGTGCACATTCAGGAAGTTTGCATATAAAATCCCTCTGTATAAGATAACCATTTAGAGTTTATATAGGGCAATTCTTTTGGTTTTGGAGGTAAGCAGGTGCAGCTGCATTTCCTGTTGTGAAGAACACAGAGAAGCAAAATGGAGAATTCTTAGTAAAATACTACTACTAACTGCACACAAGGCAAGAAAGAGAAATGAAATCCTCTTTCAGAGTTACTGGAATTGGCTACTTGTATGTTTGCAAATGCATTATATTCTTGGAGTGGTGGTGGTGGTGATGTAACAGAGCATTAATTAGGTGAAAGAAGCCTAGGTAGGGAATGGAGCCCTAAAGGGGGAAACAGATTTGGGACAGTGAGAAACTAGAATGTTGGATTGACTGGAGAGGAGCAATGTTGTTAAATCCTGTGTTTCACATAGGGTAAATAATCACTGTTTTAAAAAGACTACTTTACATTGGAGAATTCCAGGCCAAACGCTAAGCATCATGGGAATTTATTCTTGTTATAAATCTTGGTTTAGTTTTTAAAAAAGTCTCAAGAGTGTGGATGCCCTTTCTGGTGTAGCTGACAAAGGGAGAAACTATAACTTGTTTAGATCTAAGTGCCTGGCACAGTGTGTGATGTGTCTTTAGAAGGTGCTTGAACTTATTGTGCACTGTAGTACAAACAGTCACTGTTTGGTTTTATTTTAAAATCGGTAGTTTGGCGATTTGTATTTAATTTTAAATCCTGTTTTCTGATAGCTTCTGCCTTTTTTTATGCCAAGAGGCTAGCCTATGAAGAATGGTGGGTGACGTATCATTTTCCCATAATGAAATGTGCTACAGAACACTCTCAGTATTTTTTTTCTTACTTTTTATAACTAGATATTAGCTACCAAGCTAAAATTGATTCCTGCCTTATACCTATGGAGGTTTTTGAAAAAAACTTTCAAGGCCCTAGTTCCAACCACATCTGCTGCAGGTGCAGCCAACTCCAGTTCTGAAGGTAACCTAAAAAGTATGAATGTCTACATGATGAACAGACTCAATAACTTGTTTTGTATTTTCTTTTATGTAGCATTTCATTTGGAAAGATGGGTTGTGGTTGTCCCCGTTGCTCTAACGGAGCTCTGTCCATGCTTACATAGAACCATCATTCTGTACAAACAAAACTGCTATGGTTACTGAAATGGCACTTTGATTTTATATACGGTATGCTTGTTTTACATGTACACACTACCATAAATTAAAAATACCAAGCATATTCTGTGCTCTTAATGCTGAAGGGAAAAACCACAATTTGAATTATGCAGAGTTTACTTTTTATTGATATGAACTTGTTGTACTAAATCTGATGTCTGGATATAACTTCCCTAATATATATTGTTGCTTAAATATACAGAATTAGATTGACCACTAACACAGTACTGGATGTTAATTTCAAATCCTATGTTACATCAAGAGGCTGTTCTTGTAAGTCTGTCTAAACATTATCTAGAAAGCTAAGAGTATTTACTTGCCTCTTTGACAAACATTAACATGAGTATGTTGTTTGTGCCAGTTTTTTTTTGTTGAAAATACTATATTTTTCTTTCTTTTTTTACTTTTTTAAAATAAACGGTATGACCTGAAGTTATACAGTTGTCTAGATAACAGTTAGACTAAGACTGTGGATGGCTGATGGGTAATGTGGATGTACTTCCTGGTGCAATGGGTGCCAGTTGGACATTGCCACACCAGAAGAAGTAATTACACACTGTCCTCCTGATACTGAGAATTGAGATTGGAGACTAAAATATCAAAAACTTGACAGAAACATTGAAAAAGTGTGTGATCATAATGGGATATAGTTTGAAAACCTCAGTCTGAAACTGCAGTTTTTTGTCATCTAACCTGATAAGCACTTTCTCTAGCAATGGCTAAAACTTAAAATTTTCCAGTTCTATAAAAATGTTAAATATACTAAAATTGATCAAAACTGATAACATATGATAACTTACCAGCTTTGCAGAAAGATGCTTCTGACAAAACAGAAACAGATTTCCAGTTTCTAATTGCAAGTGAATGCTCCTAGTTTATTGAAAGAACGTTGTAAGTAATGTAGCATCCTGTGGTTGCCAAAGTCTGTCAACTTTGGTGAGCTGCACAGTTGTTATTCTGGTGTCTTCAAGCATTGGAACCAAAGGCCAAATTGCAAACAGCCTTTACATTTTCAAGTGAAACTTCATTTTATTTGCAGATACACTTGTATGGTAGACTGTTTAAACTATTATATGACTATATTTATATGCATTATAGTGACTGCATCTACTGTTCACGTTTAAACTAAGAAAACAAAAGATGAAAGCATTCAACTTGAAGCAAATAGAAAAGTTTAAAGATTGGCCCTCCATAAAAATGCTGTGGTTATGCTGCTTGATTTTTAAGTTTGCACTTTTTTTATTGGCATTTAAAAAAACTGTTTAAACTGAACAGAATTTCGTATTTTATTTAATTTAACTACGTTGAAAGTGACTGCTCTGTACATCATGAAATTAACAATATACATGCTGTAAATGAAAGTTCACTGTCCTGTATACTAAGTTTATTGTTTTTCTTTTCCAACTTACAATTAGGACTGCAAATGTATGAAACAAACCTTAGTCCAGTTGTATGGCTTTAACCAGGTGCAGTATGCAGTCATGTGGAATCTTGCTTTCTAGTGCTGGCAAAATGAGGACGTCTTTAATTACTGGCTTCAATAAACATGAATCCAGACTGCTTTATGCTGTGCTTTTTTGTTGTTTTTAAGATCTCCCTTCTAGAGCTGTTTCTGCGGGAGCAGGGTATTAGTGAGTTCTGTGAACAGGAGAAGTAAGTTGGCTTGTACAGTTGTGTACCTTAATGACAGCTTCCTTCTTGGGAGTTCTTGTACCAGCCTTTGCTAATGCAACTCCTCTCTGGGGTTTAGAGCATGCGCTTTGTGTAAGTAAAGCAAAGTTGGTATAGCTATGTTTGCAGAGAGAGGTGTGCTTGTGATAGCTTACACATAAACAGTTACATCAGCAGTATTGGTTTTGATGCAGAGTAATATATTTCATGAGAATGAGGAAACAGTTGTATATTTTCCCAGGTTAAGATGTATGTCTTTTAATTCTAATGTATTTTGTGGAATACCATGTCCAAGCAGAGCACTAGTCTTAAGTTTGCAGGATTAAAATCCAGGTTATGAGAAGTTTAAGGAGTTAAATTGCTTGAGTGGTGCAAGTGCCTCTTCTCTGCCAATAGCAAAGCTAAGTTTTCTCCCTTCGGTGGATGTAACAAGTTCTTCCTAGTAAGCACAGAGAGAGTAGACTGATTTAATTAGGATTCTACTTGTTTACTTCATTGTTACTTTAACTGGATGCCTATATATTCCCCTGCATAGATTGAAGTTCTAGTTATTAGTGTTTCTTGAGTCACCCTGCCTCTGAAATATAAATCAGCTAAGCTTTTGGTTTCTAAAACACCTTGTTTCTCTAGAAGTGAATCCTTATGAGGCCATGAAACGATTATCATTTTAGAATTGCCGTAATGCTTTATGTTTTAATGAATTCATTAATGTAAAGAATTAGTCTTTTAAGGTGGGATTTAGGAAGAATTATCTGTTGTGTTGATTTGCGAGGAAACTAAATGAAGACTCATCTTCAGACATGCTGAAGTTGAAAGTTACTTTCTTCAGAAAGGCTGTAACAGTGGATTGAAATGGAAGAACACCCTTGTAACTGTTATGTTTACTTTGCTGTTGTTCAACTGTAATTTGTTTTTTTAAAAGCAAAATGTCTCCAAATTAAAAAAAAAAAAAAAAGGATAATAAGGTTTTGGTGTGGAAAACATCTTACTGGAGGCTCTAAGCTACTCTTACAAGATGAATCTTTCACTGCCTGTACTGTTCCAGATAATGGTGTTAACGCCTTTGGCTTTTCAGCCATGGCAGGATTTTGTTAGGGAATGAACTTCTCAGATAAGAACCTTTGCTTGAATGAAATCATCAGTTTCTGAGTCTTCTGTAGTTCAAGTAGATACAAGGGAAAGGCTATAGAACATTAGGTTGCTACTGATGATGTAAATCAGACTCTGGTTGTCTGGGTCTGTATGTAGAGCTGCATGGAATATCTAAATTGAATATTTAGTATCAAAAGCAGAACTTGTCTGTTATTTGGTCTCTTTAATTCAATAAGTAATATATTCATAGGATAGAGGCAGTTTAATTCCAAAAGTACACTTTTGCCGGAATTGAGTTTCCCCTTCAAGGAAGCATTGACGTAAAACTTCCATCCTGTTCTACTACAGCCTTCATAATAATTAATTACTTCTTCTCTGATCCATTCAGATTGTGCGGAGAAAATAATGTAAGCACAAATAATTACGAAAGCCAACAGTCTGAACTACTGCTTTGAGATACCACATGGCTCTGGTTTCACAGATTTCTGCAGTCCAATGTAACTAGTTTATAAGCAGCTGTTCCATGTAATGGGAGTTGCAGAAGTGCAGGTGAGGGCAGAATCTGATCTAGCATGCTTTCTTTTCTCTGGAAAAGTGAATCGAAGCAAGCTCTGACTTGCACATGTACATCAATGCTTCTTGAGATTCAAATGCTTAAAAAAAGCTTAAGGAAGTTAATTTTCTCAAATGAAGCCATTTACAAGTGGTGGTATAAATGTAGTGTTACAATGTTTCAAAATCATGCATGTCTCCATAAATCTTAAATATAGGGCACCAAGTACAGCTTTAAACTGACTTTAAAAAAAAATTCTTAGTATTAGCACCTTAGGTGCATTGCTGTCTTTGGCAAAAGAAATGTCTAAGAGCGTGGTGCTGACATTGTTTAGAAATGACTGATGCAAAAGATTTGACTTGTCAGTGTAAGTTGATATGTAGCACTGTTGCCCTCTGAAGTAGCTATGTAATCACTTTGGTTTGTGTTCTGGTATTCATAGTCACAGACTTCAGGTTACTGGAGGGGTTATATTGAAACCATGCTAATAGTTACATGCAAGAGGTCTGTACGATACTGTCGTAAACAAGGGAAGCAATTAATTTTCTCTATTGCCTTTGTTTGCAGACTTTCCATATGGCAGAGTCAGCATTGCTAGTTGTAACTTTTATCTGAAGAAAACGATCCTTGACTCCCCTCTCCTTGACAAGTAATTATAGTTATGTTTTGCTGACGGTTTCTGGAGATGAAATGTTCCAAGTCCAGAAGGTGGCAGACTTGGGATCAATGCCTGTAGGTAATGCTGATTAATGTGCCATTGCAAGATGCTATATTCATTGCTTGCGATGTTCCCTTAATAATTCTTGTTTGGCAGATTATTTTAGGCTAAGTATTTTTCAAAGAGTGAATTGCTGAATTTTTCCAAACAAAAGCAGTTTCATTCAGTTCTAAGAACTTTGTTAATATGGATTAAGCTTTTTTTCTTCTAATTTTGAGTTGTCTTAGTTAAGACACTGTGGTTCCTTTCTTTCAGAACCAAAGCTGAAATAGCAACGTCCAGCACTAAAAGAAAACAGTTGTATCTGT